TGAGGAGAGAACTGAACTGGACTTTGGATATGGATCTGTTAGGAGGGCAATATGCTGATGCAAGGGTGACTGGAAAGGAGAAGGTTTTGATTACAATAGCGGTTGACTGTAGGAAATCTTGAGTGGGTAATGGGAGTAAGTGATGGGAGAGGGATTGGTGTACGATGACAGCAGTACCGGCATGTGCTCTGCCGTCAGGATGGTCAGTACGGTATGTTAAATACTGTGGGATTTTCAAATGCTGTTTTATGGTCAGTCGAGTTTCTGTAATAAGGGCTACGTCAATGTTCTTGTCTTGTAGTAAAGCTGTTAGTTCGTCAACGTGATTTCTAACACCATTCGCATTCCAAAGGAGAATGGATATGGGTTTTGGGATGTGAGTCATTAAGGATTTTTCAAAGGAGGGATTAGGTGAGATACGAGATTTGTAAGGAGTGATATGAGTGGAGTAACTAGGGATTTGAAATCGGTGAGGAAAGATGCTAACAAACTGGTGAGATCTGTTGCATTTGAAGGAGGAGGAATTTGAGGTTGTTGATGATTATGTGTGTTAGGATGAACAGAATATTGAGGTTGGGGCTGAGGTAGTTGCTGCGACAGGGCTTCACATGTATTATTGGGGTTCTTACCTCCAAGTAGTTCGGAGTATGATAAATTATTATTAACTATTCTAGAAGGTTCTCTTCTTGGTCTGGTTGTCTCATCTTGAATCCGGTTCTTCTGGTATCTGGATTTGAGGCTCTTATAGGTTTGGCAGCCTTTGTAGTTGGCCGGGTGTCCCTCCTGGCATAGTGCACACACTGCAGGATCTTGTATTGGTTTGGTGCACTCCACAGATTTGTGCTGTTCACCGCATTTCACGCAACGCGGCAGATGGTGACAATAAGTTTTCGTGTGGCCATACGCCTGACAATTGTGGCACTGTACAATTTCCTTCTTGGGGTATGGCTTCTCTATCTTCACGATAGTGTAGTACAATCTCTTGATGTCATATATTTTTTCAATACCAGGTGATGGCTCTAGATCCACGAAAAATAAAGGTAGTGGAACCTTATTGCTTACTCCTGGCTGCTCCTTATTCTCCTTCAGAACGTTGGTTACCTGACGCACTTTGAAACCAAGCGTCGCTAGTTCTTCTTTTATAACTTCAGTTGGGGTTGAGGAGTGTAAATTTCTTACCACCACTCGTAGCGATCTCTCCTGTTTCAGCTGGTATGTGTGGAAATTTGCATTCGTTTCGGACAGGTACTTCACAATTTTTCGGTAGGTTTCTGCAGTATCTGGTGTTATTTTCGTATCGTTGGTCCTATTGAGGCAAGAATAACTGCCAGAGCAGATTTCGTTTAGTTGTGTACACAGTAGTTGAAAATTTTTGATATTTTTTACAAATATCGGAGGAGGTCTTGGTTCCCTAGGTACTGCTGCTGACTCCATTACTTCTCTGTCATTATGAAGCACTTGGAACGGGTTTGGAGTGAAGAAAGGAGATTCTTCAACCATTTCTTGTGAAGAGGTACCTGGTTGAGGCTGAGGTTCTGTACCTGAAGTTTTCACTGTGGTTGGAGCAATTTCTCGCAGGCAGCGACGAGTTCTTTGTTTCGCTGGTGAATCACGAGGGGTACTAACACCGTCTGACCGAGTCCTTTTGGTGGGCACCTTACTGGACATCACTTGCTGACTATGCCGCATATCATAAGAGAAAAAAAAATTAAAATTAAAAAAAAAAAAAAAAAAAAAAAAAAAATTAAAAATTAAAAAAAAATGTAGCAAACAGTAAATAACAACTGCTCTAGTGTACACTTCAACTGTATTGAGTAAATAATCAAAGAGATTCCGCTGAAAAATAGGCAAAAACTGAGAGAAGATTTCAGAACACGTCCTTCGCATCAGCTGATCCACTGCCTTCAGAGAATGCTCTAAAGGGATTATTAAGAGTTGGTAAGTATTAAAATATTTACATTCTTTGAAATCTTGAATTTGATAAAACGGCCCTTTTTTTTTTGTTTTTTATACACCCTATTAATTGAGAAACCAGACTTCTAAGACATGAAGAGTTCACTAATAGTCTAGGAGACTGATGTAAAAAATCCAGGACATAAATATAAACCTAAAAATAATTTTAAAATTAGTTTCTATACACATCAATGAATTCATGTACCTTGTTGCACAGGTCCATGCAAAAAATATGTACAACAAAATCAAGTGAATTAATTCTCCTGTTTCAAAGATGACAAATATACATTTTTGGTGGACATAAAACTCTTGGCACAGGCGGATCTACGTGGTGGGGGGCTTTCCAACTAGAGATGGGGCCATATAGGCGGAGCTGTGATTCTGTCACTGTGACTGGGCTGGAGCTGGTGATCACAGTGACAGGCGCACCTGGCAAATCACTGTACGCCAATAGTGATGATCACTGTGCTCCAACAGTGACGATCACTGTCCTTCCAACAGTGACGGTCACTGTAGGCCCTGTGAAATCACAGCTCTGATCACTCCGCTCTATCACTTCTTTTTCGCTTCAGCGATCTGGGCATTGTTGACTTCATTTATTTTATAAATGAATTAAAGGAATAATTAATTTATTTCTAAAATAATAGTTATTCGTCAAATTTTATAAAAATACTTTTTGAACTTTGATGAATTGAACTTTCATTTCCAAATATTTCTGAATGAGTCATGTCTGAAATAATTAACGTTTTTCATTTAACTGTTGAAATATAAATAAGAAATTAATTAAAAATTAAATAAATTCAAATATTCTCTGCAGGGCTGTATACAGAAACCAAGGGATCCCAGACATATTTCACCCTGCCAAATATAAAATTTATCACTGGAAAATTTTTTTTTAATTTTAATATAATTTTAAACATGTAAACTATGATTTCACTGTGACACTTTCGCCAAGGAGCCATTTTATACTTATTACCAAAAACAAATCACTGTAGTTTGTCACAGTGATTTTTCTGGAGCTGTGAGGGAAAATCTCTGTCACACCCCATCACTATTTCCAACTGAACCTCCCCCCTATCCCCTCCTCTCAAAACGGTAAAATATAACCATATTTCATGGAAAAAAAATATTTAAAACTTATCTCTTAAAAGTATAATTGTTTTTGTAATTATATTTAATAGGACTTAAAAAAAACACCAACACCATTTCATATAGGTAGTTAGTTTCTTTCTTTCCAAAGTAATTTAGTTATATATATGAAGAAAGCTTTTGAGCTGAAGCCCCCACCCAAAAAAAAATTATATCCTGGATCCACAAGTGACCCTTACCAATGACTAAGAAAAAATTATTAAATAAATGCAGTTACAAAACATACTTAAAAAATGGATTATATATGTCTATTTTATAAAAACTTAACTTCATGTAAGAATAAATGTGGTTTATTACAATTGTACTATGTGATTACAATACAACAATGTCAACATGAAGGAAGAGACATGGGTCAGACTGATGCAAGATTTTTTACTTAGAAGTACCAAAAACTAAACCTGCTCTAGATACAAAACAGTAAAATCAAAACTTACATTCGTAAAATACATAAAACAGTCTAAGGCCTTTATTTGTTATTTTAATAAAAACTTTCTTCACCTAAAATGGGATTAAATCCATTAGAATTGTTGGGGTTACGCCAACTGTCATAGTTAGGACATGGATGGAAAGAAAAATCTAATGAATGACAGGCCAAGAGGAAAAGTGCCATCAAGACAGATTAAAACTGAATATATTACTAGGCCTGAGAAGTGGAAAAGGTCCTACATAAGTATTATGAAATAAATGACGAGGATATACTGAAGCAATACTTACGTAAATTATGCCAACTTGGAGAAAGTATGAGTGACCAAGGGCAATTATAAATATTATTTAAATTTATATCAAGTCTGTTATAAATATCTATTTATTACTAATTTCATTCTAAATACATGGCACTGATAGATTACTATTAGCTTTTGTTTTAATTATGGTGGGAATACTATAGAAATAGAAAAGGTATATAATAATAACAGAAGAAATATTTAAATTTTAATAAGTTAAATAAATTTGACAAGATATATATATATATATATATATATATATATATATATATATATATATATATATATATATATATATATATATATATATACATATATATATTTATATACATATAAAAAATTTTTACATAAAAAACATAGTTTCAAAGCATGAAAGCACAGATGAATATCATCATAATCACATGATTCGTAAAATCCAACATAATAAAATTAAATGTATTTTTTTCCACTGATTTCTCTTTGGTAGAGTTTTTAGTTCATTAACTAAAAGCTAAGCTAAAGTGGTCCCAAATCAGAGGAAGAAATAATGTTAACAAGTAGATATTGATAAGTATATTATAACCAGAGAAGAGAGTATGGTTAAGGTTTATATGAAAACTACTTTCAATTTATAAAACAAAAAATGAAAATTAAACATCCATATATAGTCTGTGGTACAGACCCCTTTTTATCGAATTATTAACGTCTGTCTGAAACTTCGTAAATAGTTTCATCTCATCATAACCCACAACTATTTTATTTACGAAAACTCTTGGAATTGGGGCGTTTTCAATCTGGAGGAAGGCAAACTTTGTTTATCTAATTAGGTACTAAAAACTCGTAAATACACATTTGCTTTCTACTTGGATCCTAAGATAATTTGATCACAAAATAGATAAAAAAGCTGGCCCAAAAAATATTGTGCCGTTTGTCCTACATAACCTCGTTATTTTGAAAATTTGGGGGTATAGATTACACCAAACAGCTCAATATTTTTTAAGGCCACCTATTTTCTCGATTTTGTGATCAAATTGTCTTACGATCCAAGTAGAAAGCAATTGTGTATTTACGAGTTTTTAGTACCTAATTAAATAGACAAAGTTGAAGAAAACAATCCAAGAGTTTCCGTAAATAAAATAGTAGTAGGTTACAATGAGATGAAACTATTTATTAAGTTTCAGGCAGACGTTTATAATTCGATAAAAAGGGGTCTGTACCACGGATTAACATAACAGATTGATAATATAAAAAATATAAGGTAACTATGAGTAAGGAAAAAAAAAACAAGGCACATCACATTTAGTTAAAGTAGATAAATGATCTTTCTTATTGTGATTTGTAAATAAAACGTTTATGTAAAATTCAATAACCGACTTTGGCCAATCACCAAAATTATAACCCACAAGATATGTAAAAAACCATTCTGTTTGATTACTGTCTGAAATAAAATGCATACAATGGGTTGTGGAGTAAATACAATAATTTAATCAACAAATTAATACTTGAAGTTCAATCTTTGCAATAATACAAAATACCCACATCACCATCTTCAGCCGTTACCAAGTTTATATGTAAATCATCCCTAATATAACTTTTCTTACAATTACATTTGATGAAACAATTTGAAACCAGACCTTGCCAACAGATAAATTTAAGGAGCTATAGTCTGTTAAAAAATGCTCAATACACTAAATGCATTGACTAGCTATATTGTCTACACTGGGTTGTGGATAATTTTTATTCCTATGACTGAAGTTGAAAGACTAAACCAGTGGTGGGGCAAATATGTTTACTCATACATTATTAGTAAAATTTTGATCATTGGCCAAATTCAGTGATTGAAAGTTACACATACAATGACGAATAATGAAATTGAACAGGGTTCTGAAGGAATTGGAATGGTAAGAAATAAGGGAACATTTATAAAATAATGTACATATAAATTATTCTTTTTTTTTTTCCTCTAAATTTTGCTTCTTTGATATGAAATTTTTACAAAAAACATCCATTAGATACCACAGAAAACACAGTATAGGAAAAAAAAGAAACAAGATTTTTATGGTTATCTACTGGAGAAAAAAAAATCAGTAGATAACTATGAAACACGGCAATGAGAGGCAGGATCATTAGGTTTTGATCGACTTGTGGTAGGTCTCTCATCAGCACCTGTAGTATCACTTTGAGAACTTCTACTACTTTGCTTAAGACCTTCTTCCATGGATAATGCAATTGCACATGCTAATGCCTCATCTTCGTCCTGGAAAATAAAAATGATTAAAATTGTGAATTATTTTAGATAAGAATAATAGATAATAGCAGTAAGTTTCCAAAGCTCAGAAGATCTTTCCAAATAAAATGCCTAATTCAATCTCAAAAGTAAGATTATGATTTAAAAGGAAATTAATTTTTTAAAGGTGGAATTTTGATTACTGGCATGTGATAAACAACATATTAAAATCTTATCAAATAAGATTTTGAATAGAATGTCAAGCTAAAAGAAAGATAAATCCACAGGGAAATTTAAAAAAATAGACAAAATAAAATTAAGTGGCATAATAATATGACAACAGTTGATGAGTAATAAAAACATAAGTAATTGGAAAACAAACAAATCTCTAAAAAAGTAATCAACATTGCTAAACATAGACATTTCTGAATGTCCAATATATAGACCGAAGTGAAAGTAGAACTGTTTTAAGACTATTCTTGTAGATTTGTATTTGATAGTGGAAAAAGTTTAGGGAACAAATCTTGAGTGTTTTACATTAATATTACTTGTTGTTAGTGGTTTAGTGTTCTTAATAATTTCCTTTAAATTATTTAGTAGACCTTAAAACAAAAAAAAATATTTATATAGAAATATGCTCACAAACATTCTATTCAAGAACTAGTTATTTACTTCTGTATTTTATAGGGATGAATAATGTCAAAATGGCCCTCATTTTGTTTTAAAAATCATTGATACACTTTTGTTCATAAAAAAAACACATAAATGATCCCCGTACGTACCAAGTTGTTAGTTCGGTTTTTTTTAAATTATTTTTTGTTAAATAGTGTCATTATCGCTGTCGTTAAGTAAGCAATAGCTCATATATATTCAGCAAGATATGTATTATTATGAGTTTTGTGACAGAAATTATTACACTTTTTGCTATGAATATGCACCACATCTACCAAACAGGAGAATTGCCGAACAAATCAGTATTCCTGTGACTATTTCAGACTGATGAAATCTAGATATCAAATAATATGTTGCCTCACACTGATGGAATTTTAGCACCTCTGCAAAATGAAAAAACAGCTATTTTATTGTAGAGTCAATCCATGCCAAATCATCCAGGGCCCGAACCCACCTCTATTAGATCTTATTGAAAATTTGTAAATATTAAGTAAATATACATGTTAAAAGTAAAAATACCCAATTATAACGAACATTTTCAGAATTATGGGCATTTACACTTCTAAAATATTTTAAGTTTGGAAGACATTTTGGACTAAAAACCAGCGCGTACCTTCCATCGTAAAACAAATATTTATTGACCAAGAGCTATCAAAATTTATTCAATTGTCATTAATTTAATACTGAATCTGCTGATGCCATAAGTTGTAGAATTATAACTTTCCTTCGTGCATAAAAAAATTCTGAAACATAAATTTTCAAAGTTGTAATAAAAATATAGAAAACTACCTGTAGCTAGAATCTCTCTCCAAATATCTTAATACGACCATATATCACTGAAAAAAGCATTCACTAGTGTATATAACTGATGCATTCAATTTTAATAAATGTATTAGGTTCATATTGTAATATAACACTTAAAACTTAAAATTCCATTAATATTAATTTTTCATTTGATAGAGAATTTCATGTTGTTTTCATTAATATATAATTGTATTGGGGTATTTGGAGAAAGATTTTAGCTACAATGATATTTTTCGATATCGATTAGCACACCATTTACGCATCACCCAAAAACTTATTTGATTTACATTATAATAAATCTCTTATGACTCAAAATTCCATAAATATCATTATATAATCTAATAGAAAATTCTATGCTCTTTTCAGTGATATATGGTCGTATTAGGATATTTGGAGAAAGAATTAAGCTATTTCGACTTGTATTTGTAGCTGGTAAATTCAAATTTATGTATTGGGTTTAAAGTGTAATAAACCTCTTCAAACTTAAGATCCTACTAATATTATTTTTGTATTTGGTAGAGAATTTTATGCTGTTTTCATTAATGTATGGTTGTATTGGTGTATTTGGAGAGAGATTTTAGCTACAGGAAGTTTTCTATATTTTTACTACAACTTTGAAAATTTATGTTTAAGAATTTTTTTATTCATGAAGAAAAGTTATAATTTTAAAACTTGTGGGATCAGCAGATTCACAATTTTTTTTTTATTTATTTATTTATTGAGTATTACAACAATCTGTCACTTGGATATTAGTTATAGTGAGACAGGATAACATTCACACAATATGTGAAAAAAATATAAAATAAAAAGGAACCAAAATAACAATAAATAATAATCAAAAGTATATACAATAAATAAAATAAAGTAACCTAAAAATAAGAAAATTAAAACTAAGCAAAAAACACATGCATACCTATATCCACTATTTACAATCAGGCAAGGAAACTCCGAGGAAGGCTTGACCCTTCCACTATGGAGAGAAAAACTGGACTTCAGAAGAACCCTACCCTACTCTCTCAACTGCATCAGTGGTACTAAAGCCAGCGGAGATTGATCGAGAGCACTTCAGCCACATACACTCATTTCTTGAGTGGAGAATCTTTCCATTGCCAGAACTCCAATATATACTATCTACAAAAGGTTGCGAGGCCACTGCCCTTTCAACCTTCTTGGAGGATTATAGGTATGGATGGTGCTTGATAGGGATTGTGCAAGAGGATTTGGATGGTAGGTAAGGTTCTGGTGAAATGTGGAGAATTTTTCTGGGATAAGGTATAGGACAAATGGGATGTTGAGGTCATGATGTAGGGTTTTGTTGGTAACAAAGAAAGGAGCATCGACTAATGTTCGAAGGACTTTTGACTGTTAGGATTAGATACGTTTGATGTTAGAAAATTTTACTGCTCCCCACAGTTCTAGTCCGTAAGTCCAAATAGATTTCAGTTTTGTCTTGTAGATCAGTAACATGTTTTCAATAGAAAGTTTAGATTTTCTGTTTAGTAGTCTGCATAGTTGGCCGTATTGTCGGTTAAGTTCCTGTCTTTTAAGTCTAGTATGAGGATTCCACGTTAGTCGTCTGTCTAAGAGAAAGCCAAGGTACCAGACTGTATCTGAGAAAGGAAGCTAGATGGTGTTAAAATAAACTGGTGAACAGGATTTATGACAAAAGGTGAAGGTTATGTGTTTCCATTTGGATTCGTTTATCATAATGTGCCATTTCTTACACCAGTGTCCAATCAGGAAGAGGTGCATTTGTAGGTTTAATGACGTTGTTTTAGGATCTGAGTTGGTTGAAAGGATAGCGGTATCATCAGCGAATGTTGCCAGGAGGGTATCGGGATGGACAGGAATATCTGCGGAGAACAGAATGTAAAGGATGGGACCCAAGACGCTGCCCTGCGGAACTCCCGTCTCAATTAAATGACAGTCAGAGAATTTGGTAGGAGAGGAGTGGGTAGTTCTTAAGATGCAATTATAAATATATCTAAGGAATATGATAGCTTTGGGTGGAAGTTGTCGAAGAATCTGTGGGGTTAGGAGGTCGTATCCAGGAGATTTACGAGGAGTGATATTGCGTAAAAGGTATTTGACCTCAGATGGATTAACTGCTTTAGGTGGTAAGGAGAGTGGAATCGGTGAAGAGAGGAATTCTTCTACTTTTGCGGTATGGGTTGGATGGGATTCTGGATGAGGAGTGAATGTACTGGAGAGGTGTCTGGCGAATTCCTCAGCTTTGTCTTCATCAGATGCTGCCCAGGAGCCATCGCATCGATGAAGGGGATGGGAAATGTAATTGGATTTTAGGATTTTCTTGGTGGTTTTCCAGAGGGAATTGTCGTGAACAGATAGAGAAGTAAGGTAGGTACCAAAGGATTGGGATCTGAAGGATGATAATTCTTGCTTTAATAGTTTACAATAATAATTGTAGGACAGCGATCGATGGGATGTTTGGTACGTTGCCATAATAATCTGGCACAGCGTTCGGTGTGGATTAGGTCTATGAGGTGTTGAGGCAAATTATTTTTCTAAGAGGTTCTTGAGAATAATTTGGAGAGGAAGCTGTCCATACTTCTTGTTGAATGGTGGTGGTGAAGGAATTTACGGCATTGTCAAGGTCTTCTGGGGTTTTCAAGGTTATTCTGAGGTCAATTTTATTGAAAGAGTTTCCAGTTAACTGGGCGTCTGATGAAGGACGGTGGAGAGGGTTTAGGAATAGGAGCTAGAGATATTTGGAGTACTAATGGACTATGATCTGAGGAAAGTTCGTCTGTGGATAAAAAAAATTGAGGATATCAGGATTGAGGTTAGGATCAGGTGAGTTAGGAGGAAGAAGGTTATCACTATTATTATACAAACTTTGTGACAAGTAATGATTCTGAATTAAAAGACCAGATTCGTGCTCTCTCCCCTTAACTTGTAAAATCCCCTTACTTTTTTAGGTATTTGAGGTACGGTAAACCTGTATTAAACATTACCTGAAGAAACTTTTTTTTTTAATTACCAAAATGAAAATAATTAAATTTATAATGTTCAAGGTCCTGAAGATTTCTTTACAAATATCTTTATACTTGTTGTATGAATAGCTTATTTTTTTTTTTAACTGAATAAGTGAACAGATAAAAAAATAAATTGGAAGTTGCTTTAAAAAAAAAAATCTTTTCTTGGAAAATCATTAGGGTCAATTGATGAGATATTCGGTTTATTGCAACCTAAAATATAACCAGATAAGGATTCTTCTAATAACAAATTTCACTCTTAATTACAATTTTAATGACATAAAAATATTTACCAGATCTCCTTGAATTGCTTCATAACCTGCAACAACAGCGCTCGAAACCACTGTATCAGTGCTAAAAAACAAATTGAAACTTTAAAACAGACAGAAAATAAAGATTGGATACAAATAAATAAGTTCTAAACTAACTCAAACCAATATAGAATAGAATAGAATAGTTCTTAGACTATTCTCCCTCTCTCCCGGTCATATGGCATGTACCGGGCCCCCCAATATTGTACATATGGTGCCCGAGGTGAGGAATACTTGTGAATGAAAATATTGTAAACATCCGCCCATCATTTCAATATTTTAATTTGTTTAATGGTTCAGTTTAACTCTAGGTTTTTCTCGGTTATTTTTTTTTTTTTTTATGTTAAATCAATTAAAATGTTCAATATTAGCAGCATTTACTAACGAAAATGTTGTATTTAATTAACGTAATATTAAACAGCCAGCAGGTGAGTCTTAATACCATTTAAAGCAACATTCACTGCCGCCTAATTCCATTAAGAACAACAGTCCTGCTTACTTCCGCAGCTACTCTAATTTTCCTTTGAACGTATTTCAATTTCCCCAGCATCCAAATAATTCAGATCTCACTATATAGTCTATGAACTATTGCATTATTTCAGCTTTCAGCTTAGATACATTTAGCGTGATTTATGATTTTTAGTTCATAAATGTGCGAATAACATACCTACACTATAATATACGAGCAGAATATTGAAACATGTAACTGTTCCTATTAATATTCTTGCATAATTAATAAAATTGTTGCATTTTATTTTTATGAACAATTTTATTCAGGCTTTATTTATCTATATTTTAATTCTTAAATTATTTTTCATATTTATTATTGTTAAGTGTGTGCATGTTTTTCTCTATTTCATGTTTGTTGTTGATTCTTATATAGATTTATTACCTTATTTTTTATGCATGTCTGATTTATTGTTATAAATATTTATTATATCTCATTCGTTTATATGTATAGGTATTTATTTAATTATCTATATTTTATTGGTTTATATATATATATGAATGTTTATTTAATTATTTATCGATCATTAATTTATATGCAGGAATATTATTATTAATTTATATTAATGGAATTCTATTTCGTCATATGATAATTTATCATATGTTACATTTGCGTCTAAAGCTTTAAATATTTTTCTTTTCTCAAAGTTTTCTTACAAAATTTGAATCAGGCAAATTTCGAAGTTTTCTTTTTTGATCTATCACAATTTGCGATTTTGTTAAATATATTTAGTAATTATCTCCTTAAATTATAAATTCACTCGAACCATGGGTAACGAACGTACGTAAAATAGAGGCGGGGTATCGGAGGTTAAGCTCGCATCGCGCCGCGGTTGATAATAACGCCAAGTCTGGCTCAACCCCTTCCCTTTACCCGCCTCAACTTCTGGTCATAGACGTGCCCGTTTTCAAAGTTGATTTGTCGAATTGGACGCGCTTTCGCGACACCTACGTGTCCCTGATCCACACAATACCCACTTAACGCCGATAAGTAAATTGCATTACTTGAAAAATGCGCTTATAGGCGAACCGGTGCCGCTTCTCTCGGCGTTCTCCTTCGATTCCGGCTAATACCAGCTGGCCTGGGACGCTCTCATGACAGAGTACGATAACATGCGCGTTGTCGCATACCGTTGCCTCCAGAGAGTTTTAAACCATAGCGCCCCTACTTCCGGCAGCGAGTATTCCAAACACTCTGCTTACCTCTCAGCTGTGGGAGAAAGTATAGCGAGCTTCCGCGAGTTGGCTTTAGAAAACGAAGGGGAAGTCATCATGTCCACTTTGGCTCTCCGCGCGTTGGACCCAACCACCAGACGACAGTTCGAACTCTCACACGCAAGTACCGAGTTCCCTGCCGCGGATAAGGTCGTCGCTTTCGTGAGGCATCGGATGATGTCCTCTAAGATGGCCCGCGAATTCGAAACGGTGCCTTCCGACGAATCGCGCCTCCAGACCACGAACATGAGAAGAATCGGAGTAACCTTGTTTACCGGTAAAGCGGATATCCGTCCCACCTCGTTCACGCATTCGTCATCGTCTAAACTGACGGCTTCTAGCAAGCATCTGAAGAGTGGGTCACGAAGATCCTAGGTGAGCGCTCACGGATCGCGGGACCGAGCTTCTTCGGTGAGGCCGATGCGTCCTGAACTAGGAGAGAGACGTCCGTCTGAAATGTCTTTCCGGAGTTGGTCTCGATATCGTTAGTGTGGCCGATGAAATCGCTCGATTTTGCGGAAGGTTCTTCGGTATCGAAACCGGAACGATTATCATGATGTAGCAGACTGTGGTGCTTCTCATTGCAACACATGCACGCGAACGCGGAGCGGCACTCCGACAGCCGATGGCTCGATCTAATGCAATTAATGCAAAGTCGGTGAGAGTGCACGAATTTGCAGCGATCTTCGATTGATAGCGCCAGGAACCCGAAACACCGCGCCAAATGATGTTTTCTCTTGCAATGAGGACACGGATCCTTGTTGGACGAGACGGATTTACTCCGCGAAACCTCTTCCCGTGATCTTCGGCGTCGGGACCCACTCTTCAGATGCTTACTAGAAGCCGTCAGTTTAGACGATGACGAATGCGTGAACGAGTTGGGACGGATATCCGCTTTGCCGGTAAACAAGGTTACTCCGATTCTTTCGCTTTACTCCGAAAAGCGGGTTTACGGCAATAGTTTCACGATTTTTTCAAATCCATTCGGTCTTATTCGCCGCTTACCGAAACTCTCCTTCCGGAGAATTGATGATTAACAAAGGTCTGCCGGGCGTTTGGTCTATTTCGCGATTTTAGTTTTCGTTCCGCATGTTTATAATTTTTGCCGTTTCCGATCCCACATTTCGCGGATTTTCGATCCCGTGTTGTCTGATCTATCATTTACCGAAACTCTCCTCCCGGAGATTTGGTTCATACCAAATATCTATTCACACCGTGTGAATTATTTTGTGTGATCCGGCGTATCGGTCGGATTACGAGGTATACGTTTCCCCTCAAGGTTGCGGCTGAACTTATGTCAATGTTCCTGGGCTCATCTTGGTGGGCGGCAGGGTTTACCACGGCGGCGATCTTCTAAGCCGAATCATTATTTAGTGGACGGATATGTTATTGTCCAACTTAATTGACGTTGCCACAATTCATTCATGTATATAGCCAGTGTATTTATGTAAATATTTATTCATTGTAGATATCTATTTATTATATATTATTTATTTATTAATATATATATTATTTATTTATTTTTTTTTATTTCTTTATGACATTTACAACTGTATTACATAAATACATCAAGTAAATTTGGACATAATTGATATAATGACATGAATACACTTGCTGAGTAACTACCCAATGGTAGCACTCTAATGATATAACTACATTAGGAGATCACGGGGCCATCTTCTTTTCAGATGCCTCGGAGGGTTATCAGGAATTGAAGAGGAAACAAGGTTAGAAACGAGAGGGTTGGGATGATTCTGAAGTTTATTATGGAAGGATAGGTATCTGGATTGGGCCAGATCTGAAACATAAGGAACATTAAGATCTTTATGGATAATTTTATTAGTGACAAAGTAAGGAGCATTGAGGATTTTACGAAGGATTTTGGATTGTAAGGATTGGATGCGAGAGGAATACGATGGTTTAGTGGAGCCCCATAGCTCAACTCCGTAAGTCCAAATAGGTCTTATTATAGTCAAGTATATGAGTCTTTTGTAATTAATGGGAAGTTTAGAGCGTTTGCCTAGTAAGTGCTGAAGTAATCGGAAACGTCGAGCAGTTTCTTGTCGTTTCAGTCAAGTATGAGGATTCCAAGTTAGTCGTTTGTCCAGGTGGAGTCCTAGGTATCGGATTTGCTCAACAGGGATAAGTGGAGTATTGTTAAAGGAAACTGTAGGACAGGAAGTCGTTGGTTTACGACGCTTATTTATTTTAACTTGTAAATTTGGATGCTGGAGGCAATTTCGCTCAATTGTTTCCCGCCTCTCCCCACTTCATTTTGAATTTTCTTTTATCTTTGCATATTATTGTTAAATCTGGCTGAGCCAAATTTAGGTGGGCGGTATGTTGGATATACATCCAAAACTTTATTGTTAACATTATTTAAATTATTGTAATTTGACCTGTATAAATAATACGGGGTATCTCCCCTCCTCCCTCCCACGGTTTCATCTTGCACTACCCCCTCTCTAAGACGGCCTTATCTACGGCCAAAAGTCAGATAGTAATGTACAAATGTACAAATAGTAAAACCATTTCTATATTAGCTAGCAATATTATTTCAAACGAAATAGCATGAAGATTTGTTTTGCTTGATTTCATAAAATTTATTTTTTTTATGTTCTATATCCTATTAGGACAATTTATTATTTGATAATTTATTTTTGAAGACAGTCTGTATCTTTGAATTTGCTATTACTCAACTTTCATTTTATTTATAGAGAATGATATTACCATATTGTTAATAAGTGTTTTTTATGTTGACTTTAATTGTAAAAACAACAATAAAAGCTTTTATTTAATATTTCATAATATTAATACTTTAAAAAAAAATTGATAATGTTTTATATAGAACCTGAACAAAGAGGGTGTGAATGTTAACTATTACAATTAATATAAGCTGATTAATTATATAATAGAAATCAGTAAAATAATAGGTATATATATATTTTTTTTTATGGTGATTTAATTGAATTTATGAATTATTTGGAGAAAGAGATCTGGATGATCACGAACAGGATTAGAACACAAACTAGTTATTATGAAACTTAAACAAAAACTTGAGAAAGAGAAAGGAAAAATAGAAAAGAAAACAGTTTCTGTTCCGAATATTTTAATTAGAAGATATAAAAAGAATCATCAATAACTAGTTAGTTTGTTTAGTATCAATAACTAAACCATTTTAAGTTAGAAGTTAAGAATAGGTTTTAATTTTCAGAACCTCCTGATGAGGATATTAATGATATAAACAAGTTCTGGCTTAGGATCAGGAATATTAAAGATAAAATAATAGTCTGTCTACACCTTCTGAATACCACAGTGCTG